TGCCCACCACCCCTGCCCCCAGTCACTCTTCTTGAAAAGAAAAAGAAAAACTCTTTCATTGTTACTCAGTCCGTCCCTCCAAGTTCACTCCACTGTGCAGCCTTCACTCCGGACTTCCATAATGATAAGAATATCCATCCATATATCCTTTCTAAACAGTTCTTTCCCTCATCTGCTTCAGTGCAACACACATCATTCCTCTCCTCCTTTTCTGTCTTCCCTCAACCCTGATGTCAGTCCCATTTTACAACAGTGGCCCTATGCAATATTTGTCCTTTTATGAACAGTGATCTTTGATCTGCCCAGTTCTGTGCCATGTCCTGGTCTCCGATGGCTCATGTCCATTGAGTTGTCATGTCAGTTGAAGTTGTTACTGGTCTTCCTCTCTTTCTCTGATTCTCCATGTTCCCCAACTTCCAAGGACTGACTCCCCCTGGAACACGCCCGGAATATGCAAGACAATGTGTCATCATCTTTGCCTCCAAGAAGCGCCCGGGTTGCACTTCTTCCTTGTTTGTTCTTTTGGCCGTTTATGAGATGCTCAGTCCTCTTCTCCAACACCAGAATGCACAGATGTTGATTCCGCTTTAGTCATCCTTATTATTGTCTGATTTTCAGATGCTTAGGTAGTAATTGAAAAGACTGTGACTTGGATCAGGCACACCTTAGTCTTTAAACTGATATCATTTTTCTTGAGAAAAATGTGCCATCAGGTTGACTGTCAGCCCACCTTGTGAGGGTCTTCCTGTTTTTCACCTTAACAGAAGTTTATTTTCTGTTGTTTCTTAAGAACTTGGAGAGTTCCTTGATTTTCCAAGGGCTGCAAGTCTTTTGATGTTTTGATTGCTGCTAACCTGATTTGCTCTAAGAATTTGCTGTAGGGGGTAAGATACGAGATACTGTGATGCTGGAAGCCTGGTGGACACCTTCCAGCAGAGTTTCCAAATTAGGACAGACTAGGAAACAGGATTGACCATCCACTTCTGAAAGAATAGGCCTCAGAAAACCTATCGTATTAAGTGAAAAGTCTAGATTGGAAGTCATTCAAAATGAGGAGAAACAACTGCAAACATTCTTTAATAGTTGTAACATGGAATGTATGAAACAGGAATATTGAAAACCTAAAAGTTGTCAGAAGTTGAAATGGAACACATGAACGTCGACATTCTAGGCATTAGTGAGAGGAGATAAACTGGCATTAGCCACTTTGAATCAGACAGTCACATGGTATATGGTGCCAGGAATGAAAACCCGAGGAGGAATGGTGTTACGTTCATACTTAAAAAGACAATTGCAAGTTCTAGTCTAAAGTAGAATGTTGTGAGTGATAGGATACCATCCATATGCATACAAGGAAGGCCTATTAATACTGCTGTCACTCAAATAGGCACATCAAATCAAAAGCTAAAGAGGAGGAAATTGAGGACTTTTACCAAATTTTGCAGTCCAAAACTGGCCAAGTGTGCAGTCAAAATGCATTCAAGATAACTAAGGACTGGAATGCAAAAGTTGGACCCAATAAAGAAGGCATGGTAGTCAGAAAGTACGGAGTTGGTGACAGAAATGAGGCTGGAAATCAAATGATCGAATTTTGTACATTCAGTGATTTGTTCATCACAAATATCTTCTTGAAAAAATAGAAATGGTGACTTTACACATGGATCTCACCTGATAGGCTGCGCAGGAATAAGATTGACAACAACTGTGGAAGGAGTCATTGTAAAAGCTCAGTATCAGTAGTATAAACCAGGCCAGGTGCTGACGGTGGAACAGACCATCAATTACTCATGTACTAGTTAAAATTGAGGCTAAAGAAAATGAAAACAAGTCCAAATGACCGAACACACAACCTTGACTCAATTCCACCTGAATTTCAAAGTCATCTTAAGGATAGATTTAAGGTTTTGAACACCAGTGACTGAAGACAAGATGAGTTATGGGATGACATCAAGGATATCATCTATGATGAGAGCAAAAGATCCTTAAAAAGAAGAGAAATCAGAAACCAAATGTGTCAGAAGAGACTCTGAAAATCACACTAGAATGTTGAGAGGCCAACATATAAGGTAGATACTGAAATATGTGGGATGGAAAGAAGAAGATTTCAAAGGAAAGCTTGAGAAGACAAAGCCAAGTATTGGAATGGAATGGTCAGAGAGCTGGAATTGGAGATTAAAAGGGAAGAAGTAGCTTGGCATTTCTCAAGATGGAAGTACTGAAAAAACAAATTCAAGCCTTGAGTTGGAACACTAGAACTATGTTGTCCTTGGAAAAGACCTCTTGCTAAGAAAAAACAGCAGGTCAGCAAAACGGAAGCCGATCTTCAGGGAAATTGATTGACACAGTGACAGCCGGCTTGAGCGTGGTGGCAGCTGTGAAGGTGGCACAGGATAGGAACAGGTTTCTTTCATTCGTAGGGTCTCTGTGAGTCACAGTTGACTCTATGGCATCTAACAGTAAACAACGTCTCCTGAAGGTTTTTGTTTGCATGCCACCTTTTCCATAAGCTCTAGCTCGCTACTTGATCCCATCACCAATCGTTGGCACCCTTCTCTCCCCCCATTGGCTTGTTTCCACACTTGATCTCTTCTGTGGGTGCATATGTAATTTGTCAGTACACTCATCTCATGTGCATAGAAACTGCTCCTCTTCCCTGAACCTGCTCACCAGCCCATCAGACAGGTGTCGTGAGAGAGCATACTTACTTAGAGAAAAATCAATTTCACAAAGTCATTCAATGTCGATGACACTGTAGCGGAGCACTTTCATGATTTGGATTTCTTTCGTAGGTTTGTTATCCTTCAAAGACATCTCAGAAATCTAGCAAATGGTATTTCCAAACTCTACCATTACCCTGAAATGCAAACATGAGTGACTGTAATAGCATCCTAAAATAATGTGGGTTTTTTGCCGAAAATGTTGAATTATCATAATATCTCAAAATGTGTTTTTGTTGTCTACAGTTTGTGACAAGTTGGAGCACAAGGGCATGACTGTTTTCAAGCTGTTTCCTTAAATCTCTCTCCATTAAGGGGAAAAGCAAGGGTACATTTTAAAGAGATTTATTCACAGCTAACTCCACAGAACACCCACACTGAAGTGTAATCTCAGGAAACATGGGAGTTCAGGCTGGCGTCTGCACCCATCTTCAGATGTGGTGTTGGAGCAGCAGGAGAGAAAAATAGCTTTAATCTTCATTTATAACCTCCTTTTAAATAGGTCTCCTAAAATAAATGTTTTTATAAGCTCCACATTTTATTTGTTCCCATTTTTTTTTTACATTTCTTGCCTAATCCTGCCCTTTTAAAATTCAGATCTAAGACGCTGTTGAGACCATTATCATACCAAGTGCACCCTTTGTTGTCCATTGCCACCTTGCCAAGACGGTGGGTGGTTTCAGAACTCCAGTGATGCCCATTGATTGCTTGGTAGTGAAACAAAAATAGTTGGAGGTGGTAAGAGTCAAAGATAAAAATGAAGACTTTGGTTGTGATGTTTGAATAGTTTCTGCAAAATCTGAGGACTCAAAATAGGATTTGGAGGTAGTTAATGTATTAGATGTAAAGAGAACCGAGTAAGAATCTGGTTAAAGAAGATTCTGCATGTTTGGAAAACAAACCAGGGTCTAGGATTGATGAATGCCTCTTCAATCAGAAATCTGGCAGTCTTGGGAGGGCTTGTTCTTGGAAGAGTATTTGTTGACACATTGTTAAGCCCTCTCTTCCTATCCAGTAGAGTGACTACTTAATAAAAAAATAGAAGAGACCAGTCTTTATAATGTTTAAAAGTTCGTTTTATGATTTAAGTGAGACTATCTGAGTTTCAAACGGTAAAGTACAGCGATGGATTAAGACATGATAACAATTACAGTTAATCTCTTCTCTTTGTCCTCCTAGATTCAGCCATCACATCATCATTTGCCTTATAATGTATCTGTTTGTGCCCATTTCTGCCTCTGGGATTATCTAGCAAGCTCATTGCAGACACTGATTGATAAATCTTTATTCTCTCAGGACCTTGTAACCACAACTAAGATTGATATTAAAGAAACGATCAGCAACCATAAAGTGTAACTGTATTCTGCAACTTCAGGCATTTGAGAAAATTCAACCTTATAATACGATGAAATGCCCTCAAACACTCTTAATTATGATTCCAGCACAGTTATATTTAAATTTGTTTCATTTTTTGACCCCTAGGAAGCAGACTGATATTTCAGTTGTTTGCATATAGAACTGAATTACAGGAAACCTGAAATGTGATGCGCTGTGACCGGTTTTTTTGTTTTGTTTTTGAATGTTCTTTCAAACCAAAGCAGACCTTGGGAAGATTTGTTGCAAGATAGCAAGACTTGTTGCAAGACTAATAGGTAGACACAGAAATATGACTATGAAAAACAGATGTTTGATCTGGGTCTGTATTCAGAACCCAGGTTTCCCCACACGGATTGAAGGACGCTTCCTTGTGGTGTTCAAGGTTGCAGGGCACTGTCTTCATTTGCTCTTTCTGGGAGAGTTTCTATAAAACATGAGATTGTATTGCTGCCGGCTGTTTGAGTTTCTTCAGAAATTGTCGAATCGGAAATACAGCAAACAAGCAATATTTATTGATAATTAAAATGACTCTGGGACATTTGCTAGATAATACCCAGTCTCTGGTATGAAACTGTAGCGTCCCCCCTAATTTTAGGGACAGATTTGTACTTTACATACAATTTAACCTGTTATTACTGTGGAGTTGGCTTTGCTTGAATTTGGTAAATTCCTGGCTGATTTGATTTGACTTTGTAAGACTCCAAATTCTTTTTTTTTTCTTTTCTTTCTTTTTTTTTCTTTTAAGTATCCAGAAGATCTTATTTGTGGTTCTGATGCTGGTCTGATTTGGTTTTAGAGTCTCAACCACTTACCTCAGGGGAGAGGCAGCATGGGTGATAGCGTTTGAAGGTGGTTCTCTTTCAGTGCTCTGCAGTCTCATTTATGTCCTCATGCCTTTTTCCACAGGTTCACATTCAGCTCTCCGAGTGGCACCGCGCTGTATTTCTCCCACAGGCCTGGCTTGCTTATATGAATCGAGCATATCATGCCGTCTTACAGGTGATGAACCACGAAATGGTTTGTTTTTAAAGAGTGTTTCTTTCTTAAATTTCAATGCACATATTTATTTTTCTATCAAAGCACATTGGAAAATAGTGTTACTGATATATGTGATGGTTGTTTTCACCCAGAAAGGAATATAGGAGGCTTATGTATAATTGCATGTAGCACTTACATCCTGCTGCACCCCAACTCTGTCTTGAGGTAGGAGCCCCCTCTGAGCACTGCCCTCCTACACCATCTGCCTTCTGATTGCCTTCACTTGGGTGCCCAGTGGCATTTCCACCTTGCGCACATCTCCAGCTGACCTCATTATCGCCTCTGGTATTGGTGTTTCCTTAAGCGGGATCTGATGGACTTGCTTAACCCTTCCTCTGAAATTTATGTGCTAGTCTTACTAAGTGTGTCTTCTCCCAAACTCAGCATACCTTTCTTAATCCCCTTGCTCTTTGTGTCATTTCCTCATACTCTGACACTTCCAGTTCTCTTTTCCTACCTAGTTTTCACCTTTTCTTTGGATTAATTTATCTACGAAGTCCCCTGTGTCCCCTCAGAAACTTCCCACTGGATCCTGTGTCTCCTCTTACGTGCTTCCTTCACACTCAGGCCTCCTGTTGGAAACTTTCTTCATTGGTGTGGTACCTGGACCTCTGGTCATCTCTGATCCCGAAGGGCAGGAGCTGAGTTCTCTTGTCAGTTGTCTCTCCAGAACCTGACAGAGTGTTTAAAACGTGACAGAAGCCACCTCAGTAAATTTGACATACTCTGGGTGACTTCATTTGGTCCACCTATAAGCTATAGCTTATGATTTAGAAACAATTTTGACCCATTTGAGAAAATACTAACAATAAGAAAACAGCTAACTCAAACACTTTTCCTAGCTTAAAGTTCATTGTTAAAGAATGAACATAGGGTGACAGGGAGGTGGAAGGGGTGTCACTTCTGAGGATATGTTAGCAGTATATGTATGGCCTTTAAGTAAGATATCCATGGAGTCTTAGAAAGTATGGTCTTAACGACAACAGCATTCTATACCTGCCTACTCAATTTATATGCTGAGCAAATTATTTGAGAAGTTAGACTCTGTGAAGAAGAAGAATATGGCATCATGATCAGAGGAAGACTCATCAATAACCTGTGTTATGCAGGTAACACAACCTTGCTTGCTATAAGTGACAGAGACTTGGAACACTTATTGTCAAAGATCAAAGAATACGGCCTTCAATACGAATTACATCTCAACATCAAGAGAACAAAAATTCTTAGCACTGGACCAATTGGCAACATCATGATAGATGAAGAAAAGAGTGAAGTTGTCAACAATTTCATCTTACTTGAATCCACAGTCAACATCCTTGATACCCGCAACCAGGAGATTAAGAGATGTTAATGCACTGGGCAAGTCTGCAGAAAGGCATGGTGTAACATCCACACGCGCGCGTGTGTGTTGTTATGTTCCATCAAGTCAGACCTTGAATCAGCTGATTCTCCTCTAGCATGTTTTCAGAGACCTTAAATCACATGGGAAGAGATTGCCCATCCGTCCCCAGCGGAGCAGCTGGTTTAACTCCTTACCCACAAGGCGTCCCAAGAGCACTACATAAAGGTCTTCTTATAAAAGAGAGATCAAATAATACTTGTCATTCTGTGCTTGACTTCACTTAGCATTATCAGGTGGTTTTAATGCAGTTAAATGTTCTAAGTAACATAATTTTAATTGGTTCCCCAAGCTGCACTGGAATCTGTATTTCAAAGCATGTTTTATTTTAATTTGTCTCCCTTTTGCTCAGCTTACCTCATTTTTCTCCTCAGCAGCCTCTGGGCACCCAGTATGTGTTGAGGAGATGCATGAGTGAATGACTCATGCTTTTGCATGTTTTCTTAACATGATTATACACACCAGCTCTCGTTTTTGTTCAAGAGGAGAGAGTCTGCAAGCTTAAGTATACATTTTCCCTAGGCAATTTTGCCGTGTTTTTCTTCTGCAAACGTTGATGGAGTGCTTTCTCCTGGCCAGACCCTGAGCTGGTTGTGGGAGATGCAAAGGAAAATTGAGCATTCCTTACTCATAAGTTTAACTGAGAAGACTAGCATGACCAGTATCAATTCTAGCATGATATCTTGGTGCTTTTGTAGAAGATGTACACAGTGCCTTTGGGCAGCTGGTGAAAGGAAGAATTTCTCTTCCTCCTACAGAATAAACTGAGAATTTTGTTTGGCTCTTAGCATAAGAAAGAATAAATTGAATGGGATTATGATACAGCGCCTGTGGCTGAATCTCCACTGATAAAAAAATAATCTTCATGATTATTTTTCATAAGCTAACGTTTATTGGATAACTAGTGTGTTTCCAACACTTAGTGCATATTATTTCAATTAATCTTTGCAGAAACCCTTTGAAGTGGAGGTTATTAACCCCATGTATAATGAGATTATGGTGAGAAGGCAGTGTTCGCTAAGAAAGCAAAGCAAATGGCTCACAATCCAGTAGGCAGTAAATGAAAGAACTTGAGCTTAACCCCTATTTGTCTGTCTGTGGAGTGTCAGCCTTTCCCACTGCTTCCTGCGTTTTCCCAAGCACGTTGTAATAATGTAACTACCATTAGTTGTAAATAATGCCAAATGGTTTAATGTTGGGGTGGGTTGTTTGTTTTTCAAAGAGCCACAGTTACTCCTGCATCAGTTGGTTTTATTGATGAAAGGACAGTCGGGATTTAAATCCCTCCTTAGTGCCATGCTCCACTATTCACAATACAATCCAAGGCCTGGGTTGAGGTATAGATGGCGTATTTCACTCTGCCTTCTCTTTCTACACATTCAGTGCAAGAACACAGCCTGTTGGTTTAATGCCTTACTGACAAATCTATTTATGAAAGCCAGTTGTGTATTTCTACTATTCTAGGGGCTGCTGGGTGTCTTTGTTACTTAAGATCTCTTTTTGAGTTTCTATTAAGTCTGGTCCTGTTGAGAACTGGGGAAAAGAAGTGAAGCCTAGAAAATAGACTATAATAAAAAGACCTTTAATTTGAACTACAGTATATTTTATTTGAAACCACAGTATATTCTAAGCTGCCAGCTTTTCTTTGAAAGTACATTGATATATTTTAACTGTTAAACAGGTGTTTCTGTGCATCTACACACTTAAACAGAATTTATGATATCTTAGGAGAATTGGAGTAACTTCAAGACTCCTTGTCTATGTCAAATATTTCTGTCATAGGAGACATTTCTTTATGGAAATTATAATTTCTTCCATATAATGGAAGCATGATTTGTAGCAGAACAGTAGAGAATTCTTTATAGAAGCTGCATTTTATTAAACTTAGGAGACATACATGGTAAACGTGACCTTTTACATTACTTCCTACAGACTTAGGTGGCATGAATGGTAAAGTACTCAACTTGTTGTGTTGAATCAGAACTGATGCATAGCAGACCCTCCGAGAGGTCAGCCAAGTGCACGGGAGGAGATTGCCCATCCTTCTCCCTTGGGGCAGCTGGTGGATTCACACTGCATGCTTTTGGACCCTTAACACTTGACCACTAGAGTTCCTGGTAGCCTAACACTGGCAGTTTTAACCCATGGGAATGCTATAAGAGACAGACCTGGTGATCTGCTTCTGAATGACCACAGCCTGGGAATGAAGGGTGGTTATGCCACCATGAATGGATGGGTCAGAGGCAACTAAAAAACTAATAACACGTTTACTTCCCAGAGTTCCATTACGAGATGATTTGCTCAGATCTGAACAAGACTGCTGGCTTCTGCTTAGACATTTACATCAAGCATTATCTAATTTTTGCCCCAGAATGGAAAGATGTGAATTATAAGCACATCAGTATGGTTGACATGGAGGTATTTTGTTTTCTTCTCATTAGGATGAAAAATGGGAGCTAATTGCCAGTACAGAGAACATTTGGGAAAGTTCTGTCTAGCCCTTATACCTTGTCTTCCTCCTAGGAGCTGAGGAGGGAAGGTCACCAGCCTTTGTGTAAAGAGCTCTGAAAGATTGTGAATATGACCTCAAACAGGAAAGAAGGGGACTGAAGCAGATTAACTTGATTCTTGCTTCCCTAATTGGTCTGCCATAAAATAATCTAAAATCAAAGCCAAGGTCAGAAACCATGCCCCAATAAAGGACTTTCTGGCCACTTGGAAGGATTTTAATTCTCACTACAAAATGTTAACTTTGGGTTTAGAATTAGGTGAAAGTTGCTCACTATGATCAGTAAACTCTTGGCTGTCTAGGCTGGAGGTATAAAGAAGCATAGACTCAGAATTGCAATCTCCGTGCCATCTAGACATCTTCCCATTCGTAACCATAGCTGTTACCTGGAAGTGAGGATGACTGAGTTGAATGCCACTGTGTCTCTTTTATCACCATTAGGCTGAGAACTGGAAGGCAACTGAATCTCAAGAAATAGCCTGAAGCGGAGTGGGTGGGAAGGGATTAAGGAGACATTCCAGAAAAGGGGATTGAAAGGAAGAAAGACTCTGAGAAAGAAAACAGTAAGAAGTTTACTTAATCACAATAGAAGGGTTGTTCTGGTTTATGGCTACAGGGGAGATTAGAGAAGTAGACCTTATCAAGGAGCTGTGCTTACATTCACTTTGATGTGTTTTATTTCGGAATAGATTTTTAACCTTTTAATTTCCTGCTCCTAGTCTTTCCCCTCCCTTTTGTTTAAGCATATGGGAAATAAATATTTTAGGTATAATTAAAGAGGTACAATTTGAAATATAACTGGCAGAGAGAGGCAATACAAATATGTTCTATTTTGCCACCCTCCTGAGATGCCTTATCAATGTTAAATATTATAGTAATATTAACACTTTGCCAGCTTGATCACCTCTAATAACTCTAAAAGATCAAGAGGGGAGGAAAAGGTCCAGCATCTTTGAAACTGTGGACACAGGGATAAATATGATTGAAGTCAAGACACTGAAGATTATGACTAGAGTGATCCTCATATAGCGAAGGCCCGAATTGATGCTCAGAGCATTATGTACCAGAAGTTGTGTTCAATACAGAGATACTGTAACAAGCCTTGCCTTCAGTGAATTCAAAGGCTAGTAACCAAAAATTTTAGAGTTATACAAGGATATGAAACTTCAAATATTAGATTTTTTTTGGAACTCTAGTCCATGAAGTTATGCAGGCTAAATTACAGATGAGCTGAAGAAAGGTTTAGCTGTAGTCATGAAAGATGTAAGACGTTAGGGAAGTTGAGGGGCTTGACTTATTGGCCTAATAATGTTAGTTAGTGTAAGATGGATTATCGTACAAAGACATTCAACTCTGTGACTCATGAAAAATTATGGATAACAATGAATGATAAAAACAATTCTTTAAAAGTAAAAAAAGTTACAGATCACACTGTGGAACAATGGAAATTCCAGGACATTTTGTTGTGCTTATGAGGAGTCTATACATAGATCGGTAGGTAGTCTTCACACAGACTGAGGGCACTCACGCTCTAAAGTAAAAGAAGATGCATTGGCCATGCTTAGTCACCTGTATGCTGAGCACATAATCTGAGAGAATAGTCTGTAAGGATAAGAACACAGCATCGGGGTTGGAGAAAGAGTTATTAACAACCTGTGATGGTCAGATCATAATGTTTTGTTTGCTGAAAGCCAAGAGAATTTGAAGCACTTACTGATGAAGATCGAAAGCCAAGAGAATTTGAAGCACTTACTGATGAAGATCAAAGACCACAGCCTACAATGTGGAAACAAGGAAAATATGAATCCTGACAGCCGAACCAGAAAGCAGCATGATGATCAGTGGAGAAAACACTGAAGTATCAAAGATTTCATTTTACTAAAACCCGCAACCAGTGCCCGTAGATGCAGCAATCAAGGAATCTCAGGATGTATGGAGCATTCGGGCAGATCAGCTGAAAAAGATCTTTCGAAAGTGTCAGAAAGCAGTAATATTACTTTTGAGGATGAAGTTGTACCTGACTCTACTCATGGTCATTTTCTGCATGTCATATACATTGCAAAACCTGCACAGTTAATAAGGAAGACCTATCAGGAATTGACACCTTTGAATTGTGGTATTGGCGAAGAATAGTGAATATACAGTGGACTGTGTGAAGAGTAAACAGATCTGCCTTGGAAGAAGTGCATTCCAGGTGCGCCTTAGAAATGAGGGTGGTAGCAGAGTGGATTATATTTGGGGGTAGGAGGTGGGGTTTGGGGAGGTGCTGGGGGGGATTGTGTACCAATGAGGGAGTTTTCCTTTTGCTTTTCAAGGAGAGGAGCAAATGGGGGGGGAGGGGGGAGGGGTTTGTGCGGGGAGAAGGGTGCAACAATGAATGAATGGAATCCCAAAATCTCTGTAGATGTTCATTGAAATGAAAAATAAACAACCTAAATTAAAAAAAAAGAGAGAGAGAAATGAGGATGGTGAGACTTGCTTTCGTAGGCACTGAACATGTCAAAGTCCAGTCCCAAGGGAAGGACATAATGCTGGGTAAACAGAAGGTGAGTGGATGTCCTGACACAGTGGCTGCAGGGATGAGCTCAGGTGTAACCAGAGCTGTGAAGGTTACACACAACCAAGCAGAGTTTGGGTCTATTGTACAGAGGTTTGCTATGAGTTGGAACAGAGTCACAGTACCTAACAAAACAATAGTAGCTAACATTTGTCATAAGGCCCTGCGTTAAAATAAACATTTTACCACATACTTTAAATTGATACTCTTAATACCATGGGGTAACTACATTTTACACAGAAGAAATGAAGGCTCAGATTTGTATACCCAAAAAACCAGAAATGTCACTAGACCAAAACAGTGTGACTCGGGAGCCCACATCCCTACCCCTTCAAGCAGACTTAAAAGGTTCCTCTTTTTCTTCCATAGAACACACCTTGTTATTATTGCAGTTTGCTGTTGAGTCAGAACCAACCCATCGCAGACCCGTCAGCGGGGTTTCAGAGGCAGTGGTAAATCACATGGAAGAAGAGGGCTCATCTTTCTCCCATGAAGCATCTGGTGAATTAGAAACATTGGGATTGTAGCATCACTTCTTACCACTAGGCCACCAGAGCCCCACCCCCCAAACACCTTTTTGGTGCTGTTCAGAGTGAACCAACCCATAACTTAACTTCTAGCAGTTTTTCAGAGGCAGTTAATGTCATGGAAGGAGACTGCCCATCCTTCCCCCACAGAGCAGCCGGTGTATTTGAACAATGTGCCTTTGGGTTTGCAGCACAGTTTATTACCACTGGGCTACCAGAGCTCCAGAACTGTAAAATAAGTAAAAGACAACCAATAGAAAATTGTAACGAATCAGCTATTCAAACCATTAGGTATGTTCTAAAGATGATTTACGGGGTTATTTTTTAAGTAAACACTAAAGAAATTTGAAACTGTTTTGAGATACTATTTGATACACAATAGACAGAAAGCTTGACAGTCCCAAATATTGGCCAAGGCAAGAAGGACCCAAACATTTATTTACTACTAATGAGAATGCCAGTCGGCACAAGCAGATTATTACCAGCAGATTTTAAAATTTTCTTTTATATTGGTTTGCATACAAGGTTCATATATATGGTGTTTTACACTACTCTCCTCTCACAGTGTGTTTCATACAATCATTCCCATTCATTGTGTTTTATAAAATTAATCACCACTGAACTCTGCCTACTGTTACCTAGTCTTTTTAGATCCCCAAGCAGAGATTTTATTTTTTTTTTCTCTCTCTCTCTCTCTCTTATGAAGCATCAGGTGGTTTTGAACTTCCAGTTCTTTGGCAGCAGTTTTAATGCCTTAACCAAAGCATCCTCAGATGTCTTTCCATAGAGATTACAGCCTTGGCCCCCATGAGGCAGTTCCAGTCTATCCTATCCTGTGGGGTCACTATGGGTTGGAACAGAACTGGCAACTATGTGTGTTGGGTTTGAACAAATGTTAGGTGGTACAGCGGTTAAGAGCTCAGCTGCCAGCAGAAAAGTTGGTAGTTTGAACTCATCTAGCCAAAGCAGAGATGGTTTTGAATGAGGCTGATGAGACCGAAACCTGCTTTAATATCCCAAAGTGGAGTCCTCTACACTAAATTTACTGAATATGCCACTTTTCCAAACCATATTTTTCTGGAATTACCTAAGCAGTGATGTGATTATTCCTTCTCAGACATCTTTGTCCATAATCCGCTTACCTGTCAGGAATCCTAAAGGCCATCTAGAGCAAGATCCATCTGTTAGCCAGGTCTCTCCCAAAGACATTTTTAGATCATTTCAGCCATAGAGTTTGCATGCTGATTTTTATGCTCTGTGTTTCAGGGAAGAATAGGGGAGCTGGAGTTACAGCTAAAACATGGAAAAGAAGGACCGGATGAGGTGCAGTACAAGCAAAGCACAGCCTGGCTCTGGTAAGGAGGTGGCATCTCGTGCTCGTGATTTGTCACGAGAAGTGAACTGTGAGAGGGATTGTTCGTTGCCGGTGTGTGCCACTGAGTCAGAACATACACGCTCCTGACCCTCCAGTGGGTTTTAGGAGCCTGTAAGTCACATGGAAAGAGATTGCTGATCATTCTCCCACAGAGCAGCTGGTGGATTCAAACCCCTTGCCTTTGGTTTGGCAACTCCTTACCACTGGGTCAAACAGAGCTGCCTATGAGGAGGATGATAGGACTTTAAAGGCTCTCAGGTGGAAGGTTTAAAGTCTGTTCAAACTGAAGAAGAAAGGCAGAAGGTCTAAGAGGTGCATTCATTGGCTCAAATTATAAGGAAGATATATTCATAAACTTTTTCTGCTGCTTAGAAGTTTCTGTGGAAAACTGTGCATAAGGAAAGGGTTTATTTTCTTTTAGTCTCACTGATTACTTGTTTTTGAATGAAAAGTCTATTTTACTTTCTCAACTCATTACCTTCCTTTTAATATTTCAGCAAGAATCCTCCCCCAACACATGCCCTTTGAGCCATTTTTACTGTTAGGACAAATTTACCACTTTTTGGCAGATACTCTCTGGTGAATTCTTCTTTAATATCCAGAAATGTTTAAGCACTGACACATTGAAAGCAACTAAAATTGCTCCATGGCTTGAGAGACCCTTTCCCTTTGTTAAAGCATCCTAAATGTAAGTAGGGTCCCCAGAACCTGGATACCCTTGACTGCAGGTTTCTTTAATGTAAAACTTTTCTTAAGGTTACCTATTTTCCATTTGTACTTACGTATAATTGGCATATGTAGAAACGCTGAAGTAGTGTTTGTGTTATGTGTGTGTGTTAAATCAATTCTGCATTCTGTTTCATTGCCCAGATGAAAATGGGGGGAAAAAGAAGATAACAATACAGTTAAAACATTGTTATGGTGCTGAATTTAAGATTATGCTTGTTATTAGGTACTTTCAGGCAGCCCCTAATCATAGTGACCCTACATGCAATAGCACTAAAGCTCCGCAGGCCTGCACCTGCCTGCCAGTTGTTGTACCTCTGTCCACTGTTGCTGCCCCTGTGCAGTCTGTCTCTTTGAGGATCTTCCTCGTTTTCACTGACCCTGCCCTTCCCCCATCATGTTGTCCTTCTTCCCTGGTCCCTCTTGATAACACGCCCAATGGATGTGGGAGGAAATTCTCATCATCTTCACTGCTGAGGAGAGCTCTGACTTGGAGAATTCTGAGTTCCAAGACAGACTTGCTTACTTGTTTCATTATTTATTATGGCAGATCATAGCAATTGTTTTCTATTCTTTGCCACCAATGCCATACTTCATCAGCTCTTCTTCCATCATCTTTGTTGTTGTTGTTATGTGCCATTGAGTCCTTTGCGACTCATAGCGACCCTATGTACAAGAGCCCTAAACGCCATTCTATCCTGTGCCAATCTTGCCGTCTCAAACACATTCATTCCCACCTCTCCACTCACAGAATCGATCCATCTCATCGAGGGTCTTCGTCACCTGCGCCGTCAATCCGTCTCCAAGGACCAGTCCCTCCTTGCATCATGCCCAAAGTATATCAGACGAAGCTTCAGAATCCTTGAGTCCAGGGAACACTCTGGCTTCACCCTCTCCAGGACAAACCTGTTTGTTCTCCTACTCCTAGCAGTCCATGGTATATTCAACACTCTTCTCCAGCACCACAACTCAAAGGCATCAATTCTCTTTCTATCATCCCTGTTTACTGTCCAACTCTCCGATGCATAGCACATAATTGCAAAGACTATATAGCCCGGATCAGGCACACCTTGGTCTCCAGCCTGACGTCGTTGCACTTCAGTACTCTTGAGAGGTCCTTCACAGCTGACTTTGCCAGTGCAATTCGTCTCCTGATTTCCTGGCTGCTGTTACCAAGAGTGTTGACTGTGGAGCCAAGCAAACTAAAACTGTTAACTATCTTAATCTCTTCATCCATACTGATGCTGCCAATTGGCCCAGTGGTGAGAATCTTTGCTTTCTTGATATTGAGCTTCAGTCCATATTGAAGACTGCAGTCCTTGACCTTCTACAGCAAGAGCTTCAGGTCCTCCTCAGTTTCATCGAGCAGGGTTATGTCATCTGCATAACGCAGGTTGTTGACGATTCTTCCACCAATCCTGGTGCCACATTTCTCCTTGTACAGCCCAGCGTCTCGGGTGAGCTGTTCTGTATACAGATTGAAAAGGTATGGAGACAAAATACATCCCTGACGGACCCCTTTCTTGATTTTGAACCATCCAGTGTCTCCCTGTTCTGTTCTGAGGACTGCCTCTTGGTCCAAGTATAGGTTTCACATTAGCACAATCAAATGTTCTGGGATTCCCATTCTTCTCAGAGTCAGCCACAGCTTGTTGTGATCCACACAGTCAAAAGTCTTTGCACAGTCAATAAAGCACAGATAGACATTCTTCTGGTATTCTCTGCTTTCTGCCAAGACCCATATAACATTAGCTATAATATCCCTAGTACCTTCTAAATCCAGCCTGCACATCTGGCAGTTCTCTGTTTACATATTGTTCCAAACGCTTTTGGATAATTTTCAGCAGAATCTTTATGCATATAAATACAAAACAAAGATGCACATGAACCAGTGAAAAATATCATGGCTTGAGGCAGGCACACCTTAGTTTTTGATGTGATTCTCTTATTCTTTAGCACTTTAAAATGGTCCCTTGCAGATTTGCCCACCACAGTGTATCACTTTATTTCTTGACTACTGCTTCTATCAGTGTTGATTGTGGATCTAGTCAAGAAAACTTGGACAGTTTCAGTATATTTTCCATTTATCATAATTTTTATTGGTCTAGTGAGGATTTTTGGTGTTTTGTTTGTTTTTTTAGTGTTGTGGTATAATACTGATGTATAGTACATCTTTGATACTCATTAATTATTGCTTCAAGTATAACTTATCCTCTCTGAAATGTATATATTCTAATCAGTTCTGACTGACAGCAGATGGTTGTGTCAGGGTAAACTCAACTCCACAGACATTTCAAGGCTCTCACTTTTCAGGATCAGCTAATGAGGTCTTTCTTCGAAGGCACCTTTGGGGGGAGTGTGAACCCCTTCTTTGTTTAGTAGACCAATGCTGAACCATTTGCACCACTGAAGGATTCCTCTCAAAATGTGGACAGTGGCTTCGACCGAGGGGGAACTCATCCTCTCATCTCATTCACATGTGGACAAGAACAAGTGAGGCAAGGCCCAAGAGGCGTCTCAAAAAGAGATGGAACTATATTATATGGTGCTACTGTTGTAGAATGAGGCTGACATTGGGGTGGGTGTAAGACTGAGAAAAACTGGATAAATTATATTTACTGCATTGAAGCCGATGAGGGAGAGAATAGTTTAAAATTAATATATTTTAGGGTATTATGATTACTATCAAAAGAGTCAGGAATGAGGTTTGCAGAGTGGAGTATACTTGGGGTGGGAGTGGGGATGTGCGGGGTGGGGGTGGGGGTTTGTGTACCAATGAAGGAGTTTTTCTTTTGCTTTTCAAGGAGAGGAGCGAACTGGGGGTGGGGGTAAGGGTGAGTGGGTGGGGAGAAAAGTACAACAATGAATGAATTCCAAAATCTCTGTAGATGTTCATTGAAATGAAAAATAAATTAAGTTTTTTATAAAAGAGATGGAACTAGAAAATTACTGCCACACTTGCAGTAAATGATCAGCTGCCTTGAAGTAACACTTCAGCATCTTCACTTAAATTTGAAAACTACCCAAAATCTAAACTCACACTTAATGTTCAAAAGAAAAATAATGCCCTCTAGCGTTTAGACTTTCTCTCCTCGCTTGTTTATCTGATTTATGTTTGTGTATCTGCTTTAAATCTTTTCATCAGTGGCACCTAAGATGTCACAAATTCAGTCATCAGAGCTGTGATAGCGTCAGGTTCTCAAGACATATGGCAGTCTGGTAGCAGTGCAGGAAAGGAAAATCACAAAAAGCAGATTTTTACAAATTCACCTTGCCTGGGGCCATTAATTACAGGATCCAACACCCTGCTAGCACTGAGTGGATCTTTGTGTAAAGGGCCCCAGTGGTTTGTACATTACCTGTTGTGTTGTGGACATAAAGATTAGCAGTTTGAATCCATCTTCAGATATTCTGCAGGAGAAAGATGATCATTCTCTTTCAATAAAGACAAGTCTCAGAAACCTGCTTGAGTGTCTGTATTTAGTGAATATCTTAGATGCACCTATTTGCAAGGGTAAGTACACGGATCCTGTAAAGAACAGACTTGTCTGTCTCCTCTCAGAGCTTGTTCACTACCGAAGCAAGTAAACAAATAGGTAAATGATGTGATGAGTTTTTATTACTAGAAGAAAATGAAAGGGAGTAAGGAGTACTTGGTTAGAGACAAGATGGGTGGGGTTAGTTTAGAGGAAACCTCTTAAAAAGAAGACATTTAAGTGAGACCTGAAGGAAATAATAAAGCGAGCCACAGTGATGTCTGAGGAAGAATATACGAGGGACTGAAAAGTCTTTGATAACATGATGGACAGGGGTCGCAGTGTGATCGGTAGTGGTCATGTGACTGGCTGGGAAGATCAACTAAGAATGTAGTAGAGATGTCCCCAGAGAGAATGGGGCAGTAACTTGAGGATGGTTGGCCTTTTTTAAGCATAAAGAGGACTTTGACTTTTACTCTGAGTAAAATGGAGAGACTCTGAAGGGTTTTAAATAGGATCCGAGTTATTATTTAGAAGGATCATTCTGGCTGCTGTGTGACATGGTTTGGAGCCTGTTTTAATAATTGAGACCAAAAAAGGGTAGCGTTCTAGTTTAAAATCTCAGAAGTAGATGTGCTGAGAAGTAAAAGGTTGGGTTATGAGTAAATTTCAAAGGCAAATTGCTTAGCTTTTAAATGTGGGTAGATTAAATGTAGGATGCAGTAGAATGATGGAAATAGTAAAAATCCAAAGTTTTTAATCTGAGAAGGTTAATAGAATGAAGGTTATCTTTATCAAGAGGGGAAGGGCCACTTTGGACATCAGTTTAAAAGCTAAGATACACTCAACTCAGGCCATTAAATGTTCATTTTCCTTCATATGCACTTGATAATTAGACAGTGACAAAGACTGACTGAAAAGAATTGATGTCTTTGAATTGTGATGTCGGTAAAGAGTCTGAATAGACCATGCACTGCCGAAGGAACAAAGAAACTCCTTTTGAGGAAGGGTCATGAAGATGTTTCTCAGAGGCAGGCTTGGTGAAACATCATCTTCCATATTTTGGGAATGTTATCAAGAGGTTCTGGTCCTTTGAAAAGGACAGCATGCTTGGAAAAGCGGAGTGTCCGCGAAAGAGAGGCAGAGCCTCAGAGAGTCAAATGATGACTGCAGCAGTGGCCTTGAATATGAATAGAATAAACCTAAGATAATGAGGGTGGCACAGGATGGGGCGGGTTTGCCAGCTCTTGGTCGTTGACTTGACAGCACCTAACATCACTGCCAAGGGTGAGGATGTCTGCCAAGCTTTTTCCTTGGGGTGTAGCCTATAGCAGGTTGTGCTGTTAACCAAAAGGTGGTTTCTTTGTCTCTAGCTGTTCAAATCCATTTGTGGCTCAATGGAAGAAAGAGGGGCATCCTCTCCTTCAGATCTGCAGCCTCGGGATCCAGCTGGGAAATTGCTGTGAATCCAAGTAGACTCAGTGGCAGTAAGAGAGTGAGCGAGCGAGAGAGCTTCCCTAAGACTCCTAATTAGACTCTAAGTGGAGAATCCAGCGGGTTGTGGTTGACTGCAGGAGTCTAGGGTTTGAGGAGGAGGTCAGGGTGGGAGATAAAGATTTGGGGACCACCTGCATTTTGGTGGTGTTTAAATTCTGATGCTGGAGGAGACTACCTACCTAGAGAGGAAGGCTAGAAGAAAGGACAGAGCTCATGCCCTGCATTTCAGCATTTAGACAATGAAGACGATAAAATGCAAATACGGCTGACTCACAGCTGACCCTGCAGTGGGTTTCCGAGGCTGTAAATCACGCAGGAGGAGCTTGCCCGTCTCTCTCCCTCAGAGCCAGGCTGGCACGTTCAAACTGCTCTTTGCATTAGTCATTCAACTCCCTGATGGGTTCTAACATCAGATACTAATTGGACAATATATTTTAGAAAAGTATGTTATGAAATTATTTTTAAAATTTAAGTTTATGCCCAAAGAGTGCTGGATAACCAAGATTTTGTTACAGTTTGGCTGCAAATATTTAGAAATGCAAATATCATTTATAGTTGAATGCAAGCATTTTATAGTATGTGTGAAAACTGAATTTATATACTCAAATTACACAGTGAGAATGTCTGTGAAACCCTCTTAAAAATGAAAATTTGACAAACAGAGGTTGATTTTCACTTTATCTCAGGATTCTTAAATTGAAAAATAAAATATGTCCTGTGATTATTTGAATTGAACATACTTTCTTGAAACCCACAAATCTAATTTTCTTTTAGCTTGGGGGTGATTAGATAAATAAAGTTTATTAATTTCAATTTATGTACAAACACAGTGACTATTCCACCTCTATAATTTTGAAATAGTATAGTGATATTTTGGTGAGCTTTTATTTAAAAAAAAAAACCCACACACAGACGAAAACAATATAAAAGGTGCTTTTGTACCTCCCAGTCAGTTTAGGATTGACACAGTTGCAAGATTGCCTGGCTTCCTGGCCTCGGGCTCTTTTCACTGCTTTCCTTCCTTCATGAAGTGGACTTCAGAATAGGGAAACGAAGCTCTCTTTGAAGTAGAGCCTTGAAACTAAAAGTACAGCTTTTTTCACCTTATCCTAAAATTATACATATGTTGTTTTAAGCTCGGGAGTCATTACCAGAAGTTTCCTATTAATTGGCGAATAGGAGAAAAGAGTGCATTCTGTCTGAAATGTATACTCTAACATGATTTCCTGCCTTCTCCACAGGGTCAGAGACATGCTGACTGATGAGATCACCAAAGCAGCTGCAAAGTAAGGGTCTCTTCTTCTCTTACCAAAAACTATAAACTTTTGTTTCTCTTCTGAGGGCATTTCATAACTTTAAGAGGTTTAGAGTACTTCTCAATTATTTTTACAAAATCATTTTTTTTTCTCTTTCCCATATATACATGTTCATTTTTATTATATATTTTTTTGCAAAAAATTTGAAAAAGAAAAAAAAAAACAAACCAAACACCAACCAACCCAAAAACTGTGGAAATGGCAGCCAGGAAACCACAAGACTAATTGGATGAGGAAAGTCTGCAGTCAGGGACCTCTCCAAAGTGCTGAAGGGCAAAGATGTCAGCCTAGAGACTACGGTGCACCTGATCCTGGCCATACTCTTCACAGTTATTAAATATGTGCTAGCGAGCTGGACTATTACTAAGGATGATGGAAGAAGAATTGATGCCTTTGAGTTGTAGTGCCAGAGGAAGAATGTTGAACATGTTATGGACTGCCAAAAGAACAAACAGGTCTTTTCTGGAGAGAGTGAAACCAGCTTGTTCTCTGGGGGCAAGAATTTTAAAGCTCTGTCTCACATACTTTGGGCATGTTGCCAGGAGGAACGAGTCCTTGGAGAAGGACATCATGCTTGAAAGGGAGGAGGGACAAAGGAGAGGAAGACCCCCCGGATGAGATGGATTGACAGTCATGGTGTAATAGAGGCAGGTGTGTCAGAGACAGTGAGACTGACTCCGGCTTGAACAGAGTTCAGAGCTATTGTGCATAGTCGACTTGGCAGCACATAACAACAGTATATACCTTAGTTTTTTTTACATTGAGGGTCACTGAGCTTGAGCCCATGCAATGTGCTAACAGATGTTTTGTCTTAGATTGAAAGGAGTTGTAATTTGGTTTACTGGGAGGATGGGAGGGAATCCTTGGTTAAGTGAATTATATAGCTTCTATATATAGATAGATTAATACCATCTCAGCACTGAACCAACAAAGAAACCAGAGTAGAACTTCTTTTGATTCCCTTTATGTTACTGGGCCCTAGGTATCAAAAATAATCCATTTTAAAATATTTGCATTTGGTAATAATACCAGGTGTGCATTTTCAAGTGAAATGAAAATATAACTACTATGAAGACTCAATAAAAAGGCAATTTCAGACATATTCTTAGGTTCATTGTTTTAAAAAAATTCTGAAGCGTTAACGCTTTGAAGAGTTACCTTAAGCTGGTTCTCACTAAGAGAAAACTGTCGCTGAAGGAACTGACTGGAGCAACCTCTTCATGCTTCTCTGTGATGCGGGCAGGAAGTTGCATGCCAGTTGATGCAGCCTCGCCCTTCCGACATCAGCAGCAGCTACTACCATTCCTGTACAACTGACTTTCCTCTTATCCTTTGAGCTACAGAATTTCATGTGTATCGAAAGTCTGTATCAGCTAGAAATACTTCATTGCCATCTAATACTTACCAGTCCTAGAAATGTCTGAAACAAAATAGATTGTGCCTTTAAAAACAAAACAATCCTTATTCTACCTTAGTATTAGCTTTCCACCAATCATTTCATAAACAGCACACAACTACCAAGTATGATCTTAGTGCATGATCACTCCTCAGCCTCATGTCTCTTGATTTAAGGAAAAGAAAAACTGGTACGCCTCTAAGACTCAGTTCTGTGGGAGACACTGAGAATTAGATCTGCTGACAGAATGAAAACTAAAGTATAGAGAGGCTTACACAGGGACTCATTTGTGTCTGCAACTCTCCTTTGGTGAATTGCAGACACAGTGGGAGAGCATTCAGCTGCATATTGCGGGGCTGGGGGGCTCCGAGGGGGGCTGTCCCTGACCTTTACCTTTCAGAGTCTCTTCTATTATGTACCCTCCTTATATCCTGTTAAAGCAGTGCCCTTTGACATTCGCAACAAAAGGCTCCAATCCTGAAGAAACTAGCAGCTTTCTTTTAGAACAAACTGTACTTTTGACTCTGTGGTAACATTTGCATTTTTCTGTTCCAAAATTTCATTTTGGGCAAGACTTTGAATCTTCAGATTTGCAAACCATCACTACCTATTACCTGATACAGGAGACTGTTCGCATTATCAACGGTAGAGGATAAAAATAGTCTGTTTTCAAGGTGTGACCTTTTCATCAGAAATTTCAGAGTATTTTATAGGCTGTGTCTTATTTAAAATGATCCCCACAATATTAACATGATAAGTGAAGAGATGTTTAAAGGACACAGGCTGAGAGAGCAGTGCTAAAGAGCAAAAGGGGAAGAGGGTTACTCTGCCGTCTTCTCTGTGCTCTTCCCATCGGCGCCCTCCGCCCTGCGATGACTCTTCCGCTGCATGCTGCCAGTTTAACTTTCCGTTTCGTGGACCAGGGATTCCAGAAGCTGATTTAGACAGATGACACACTTGGCTCTCTGAAACAGAGGAGGACCTGAGGTGTTTGCTGCAGAAGGTCAAGGACCACAGACTTCAATATGGTTTGAACTTCAACATCAAGAAAACAAAGATTCTCACCACTGGGACAATTGGCAAGCAGCATGATAGTCAAAGAGATTGAGGTTGTTAACAGTTTCTGCTTGTTGGCACCAGCAGTCAGGAAATCAAAAGACAAATTGCACTGGGGAAATATGCTGACAGGACACTTCTCCAGAGTGTTGAAAAGCAATGATGTCAGTCTAGAGACTAAGGTGCACCTGATGCAAGCTGTGTTCTTCGCACTTAACTTGCTTGACATCCATGAGTTGGACAATGACTACGAATGATAGAAGAAGACATGATGCCTTTGAGTTGTGGTGCTGGAGAAGAGTATTGAACATATCATGGACTGCCAGGAGAACAAGTATTCCCTGGAGAGGGTGAAACCAAGCTGCTCCTTAAAAGATTTTGGAGCTCCATCTCATACACTTTGGGTATGTTGCAAGTAGGGACCTGTCCTTGGAAAAGGACATCATGCCTGGAGAGTAGAGGGAGGGCACAAGAGAGAAAGACCCTGGATGAGATAGATTTGTCACAGTGTCTGGAGTAATAGAGGTAATTATTAGTAAGATTGGTTCAGCATAAGACAGATTTCAGAGATACTGTACATAGGGTCATTATGAGTCAGAGTGACTTGAGGGCACATAACAACAACAGGGCTTGTTTGGCTAAAGCCAGAGAGTGAAAGATCAGCTGCAAAGTTAGACTAATTTCCTCATCCGAGAGCATTTTAAAGCATCAGGGATAGACCTTGGGGAGAACCAGAGCACTGACAAATCATGATGATTAATGTAAATGTATTTTCATTGTTATTTGTTAAATAAATTTAAACTCGAAGATGCAAGTCTCCAAAGGCTTGGGTCACTTTACTAATATATAACCTCATACTAAGAAAACATCATTGTGGCTCATCCTTCCTTGTGCTTTTTAATTAGGTTAATGACATCACTTTGTTTCAAAGGACAGTTTAATTAAAATGTCAGTGGTGTTGCCTAGATAAATACTGCACTGATGCTGACTTGTTATTATGCAAATGAGTTGCTATTGTGTGGCTAGTAGGGGACCTTTATTTGATCAAGAAGAACAGGGTGAAGAGGTTTCGCTGAACTTGTTGTAGAGTTTCATCTGACCAGTTCTTCCTTGAGTTCATGTCCGGATGTAAGTGTTGAGCGTATGGCCCTGAGAGGGGCCAGGCCCAGGCCCTTTCTGCCATGCGCATGGAGCCAAAGCACGCGTTGTGGGGACTCTAGATGACTTCTTTTTTCTATTCAAAGATTAATACCCAAATTCTCATTAAATCCAAAGCCAGAAATCACTGGGAATATACCGGCCGCCTCTTTTGTTCTCACCTGAGCGATTCCTGGTCGTACTCTAAAGGCACAGGCCTGACTGTCTTCTCAGATAAAGGAAAGGGTTAATATTAGAAATAAAGATTTACTTATCATTTTTCTTTTGTTAAATGGTTGTATGTCTTGGGCTTATGGGCATGCCCAAAGCCAATCTTGCTTCCTCCTGGTATGTTATTAGCTATGAGTGTTCAATATCCTTAAAGCAGAATGTCAGTAAACTGGAGCCATCTACATAGACCTCAAGGTTTTCTTGCCATTTTATTCCCTGCTGTACCTACCCATGTTGCAAGGAGGGACCAGTCCTTAGAGAGGGACATCATGCTTGGGAGAGTGGAGGGACAGCACAGGAGAGGAACACCCTTGATGAGATGGATCGATTCAGTGATTGGGGTAGTAGGAGTACGTGTGTCAAAGACAGTGAGGTTGGCACAGGCTAGAGCAGGGTTCAGGGCTCTTGTACATAGGGTTGTTATGAGTCGCAAGCTACTCGATGACACATAACAACAACAGCAAACAACAAATTACCCCTAATAGGAATGTTGTTGTCTTATCAATATATAGGGAGCTCTGGTGGCCTAATGGTGAGGAGCTGTGCTGCCAACTGAAGACACACAGTTTGAACCCACCAGCTGCTCTGTGGGAGGAAATGGGCAACATCTTCCTGTGAGATTTACAGCCTCTGAAAACCTGCTGTAGGGTCAGCTATGAAGCAGTTCCGATTCAATGATATTTAACAGCACCACCAACCAATATGTGGCAGGCCTCATAGAGATAAAAAATGAAATACGAATGAAGAAAATGCAGAGCGGGTCTTCATGGGGCTTATTAACTGCCTTCCCTAAAGACAGCAGGAGAAGAGGCAGTTGAGGAAGCAGGAACAGATGGACTGACACGTACAAGAACTTGCTCAGGGGGGATGCTAAAGCCCAGTTCTTAGCAGGTGGATGCACAAATGCACAAACCTGGGTTTCTCTTCCCTAGTTAATAGCCATTGACTCACTTTCTCAATTGTGCCTTTGGCCTGCACCTGGAAGACTCTCTCATTGCTGTCGCATGAGAACTGACTCGTAGCTGACCCTTCAGAGTTTTCAGAGCCTTTAAATTGCACAGGAGGAGGTTGCCTAACTTTTTCCTACAGAGAAGCTTGGTGAATTCGAACTGCTTGCTTTGGGGTTGGCAATGCAACTCCGTACCCGCTAGGTGACCAGTCCTCATTAGGAGGGTCTAGGTGACCGTCCATGGACAGCACTGGGGTAAGCAGAGAGTGGTTCTTCCGCTTCAGCTTTCAAGTGTTGATGCTGGGGAGCTTACTCTGGATTTATGGGAGCCCACAATAATAAGATGTAGAATTTAACTGTTTGATGATATGAATACACTGTGGCCTGAGTTCCTCTGTGACAAAATTGTCAAGCTAAGAACTTCTCCTCAGTGTCTCATCTGAGACTTTATTTCTTAGGATTGGTTTGGAATTATGGATAATGCTCAGTGTACATTGTCAAGTGAAAATAGGTTAAAATATGTCAATTTTTTTGATACAAAATTCAGAAATCCAACAGACTTTCTTCTACTATTAGAACACTTCTATCTAAATAACATCAAAGACAAGCTTTCATTCCTAGGTCTAAAAACAAACCTTTTTTACATCTTAGAGTGTCTCCAAATTGTATTACAAACTGCTTTCATGGTTGCTGGGTTTGGCATAGCAAGTGGAAGAAAGAGAGGAACGTAATGACAGTGTGTCCAGTTGCAATCAAGAATGCTGTCTGGAGCCAGTCACTTGAAGGTGGTTCCACACACCAGCACTTCAGAAAAGCCAGAGGCCGTTCTGTTCTGGTGGGGTTCATCCGCCCAACTGTCCTTGCTTGTGTTTTCGGAAGAAACCAAATAAATTCAAATTGGCCAGAATAACACAGAAGAAGATAATTTAGGGAATGCAATTTCAGTGGAAAAAAAAATTAGGAAAAAAGCACAGAGAGATGTGAGCTTGAACTTCTAAGTTACAAAAATAAATGTAGCAACATGCAAAAGAGAGGATTCAAAACCAGCACCAGTGTCAGAAGAAAGATGGAAGATGTTGGCATCAGGCAAAAACTGGGCCTGTGTGTACGAAGCTCACTGAGGGGGCAGACACCTGTGTCTTTGCTCATCCTCCCTCCCTAATAGCTCTTTCTCTTCTGCCGTTTAATGCCCCAAAGTTCTTGCTTGTATTTTTTTTCCCTCTTCTTTTGAAACAGGGACAGCCCAGTGGTCAAAGGGAATGCGCTGTTAGCCTTAAGCAGCCTTGCTGTTGTCGTGTCCAAGCACGAAGCCAGCCTCTCCTCTGAATTGGAAGGGGCTCTGGAGGTGAGTTAAGGCTGACTGGAATGAGTGGGACCTTGGCTGTGGAATGTTTGAAAGGTGAGAAGTCTGAAGGCCGAGCTCTCGGGGGTCCGGCCCTGGGTTCAGGAGGTCCGCCCCTGCCATCGCAGCACGAGGTTCTGCTGGGTGATGGGCCTTTCTTTCCTGAGCCTCACTGTCTCTGGAGCTTCTCTGCTGCTTCTTTGTTGTGCTCTCTCCATCACAGTTAAGTGGTCATTTCCATTTGAAGGTGCCAATTTTATGCAACAGAGGTTGTCTTTTTGTGATTATATCAGTGGTAACCAATCTTAGAAGGTTAACTAGGCTTACTGAAAGTGAACAATGCTGTCAGAAAATGATAAATAAGCAGTGTTTACTGACTGAAAAAAAATGTACTTTGCATTTTAATTGTAGATGTCAACGACAAAGTGCCTATTCATTTTTGCAAGGCATTTATTTCTTAATTAAACATGTGGCAAGCTGGCCAGTGTTCATTTCCAATGTATTTTTTTCCAGATAATTCATATCTGTCAAAATAAAAAGGCATGGATTTATTCTTACTTTAAGTCTCCTTATATGGTAGCTGTCACTATCTAGTTAGAATATTGCTGAGTGGATAAAGAACAGAAGAGAAGAATTCTGTGTTTAAATTCCTAGTACTTGTCTTCTTTCACCTTTTGCTTTTAACTTTCCATTTTAAAGCCCATTTCCTCATCTATGAAATGGGAGTAAATATATCAGGCATTAAATATAAGAATCTCAGTGCAATGACTGATAGAGCCAAATCCTCAATAAATAGTTGTTGTGTACCATAGAGTCAGAACCGACCCATAACACCCTCCACTTGGTTTCCAAAGGCAGTAAATCACAAGGGAGGAGAATGCCCATCTTTCTCCTGTGGAGTAACTGGTGGACTCGAACTGCCTGCCTTTGCATTGGCAGTGCAGCTCCTTACCACTCAGCCTCCAGACCTCCCTCAGTAACTAGTACCATTATTAACAGCTAGCTATAGTAGCAGTATCTCCATCATGGTATTAAACTAATATATTGTAAACTGTCTTGAAGAGAGAATTTTTTGATAGCATATTAAAGAAGAGTGTCTTTTCATGCTTATTAAAAAGAAGGAAAGAAAATCACATAAAACACAGTAGACAGTTGTTTTAAAATATAATAATGTCCTGCTCTTTTCAAACTGGGTTTGAACCTTCATTTGTTTGCTTGTTGCAGCAGAAAGTCAGATTCACTGAACATTATTCAGCTCGTCTCTTATCCTCCCTGAGACATCTTCCTATTAACTCTTTCCTTGGTGAGGTGTTTTGAGTCACAGGAAAACAACTCTGACTCATTTATGTGACAAGAAGACTGGAAGTGTATGGAATCTGGAAACTAATGGAATGAAGGGCAAGATTGAAAAGCAGGTTTTGGAAACTGTGTGATCCATAGGATCTTGGGAGTCCAAGCAACAGGGCGGAACACTCCACTGGGAAAGATTACTTTCAAGGTGCTTCCTGCCCTTACACCACTCATGTTGGGAGGAGAGGTTCTTCCTTGGAAAAGGAGGTCACGTGTGGAAAGGGAGAGGGTCAGCGAAGGAGGGGCTTACTACGTCAGAGATGATGAGGGTGGCACAGGACAGGACAGGTTTAGACCTGTTCTTGGGGTTTCTGTGAGACATGCTTGTCATCACCCAACAACAGCGCTCAGCCATGATTCAGGGGTGCGAGGGTTCCATGCTCCTCCTCGGCGAGTAGCTCCCTCCACTGAGCTTCTAACCAAACTTCACATAGTGCGGAGAGGAAATTCCCAAAGGGTACTAGACTCGTCGTTGTTGTTGACTGCCATCGAGTCAAGCATGACTCCTAGTGACCCAAAGAACAAAAGACCCGAAGCCTTTCTCTAACTATCATTTCTCAAAGTTCATAGAGCTTCCAGAGGAATGTTTAGGAAAATATCAAATATTTGGAGGATATTTATAGGATTCAAGGAATTATTTATAGGATTCAAGGAATTACTGCATGAAGAGTACAAGTACCATCAGTTAACACATGAAAGATTTGACTTTGTATTCAGAAGTTTATTTGAATAGTGAGAAAGTGTCAAACATTTTTTTAAAGCAGATTAATTTCAGATATTCAAAAGAGCCCTCAATCTACTCTGTGTACAGTCGCTCTGGCAGTCCATGTTGTTGAGTATCTTCCTCTCTTTAGCTGACATACTCCTAAAAGACAATATTTTATATCCTACATTTAGAAGGATTGATGGAAATAAAAATTATAGGGAGAAAACAGAAAGAGTGGGATTATGTTGTAGGTATTATAATTATTGGTATAAAACATAATGCATATAAATGGTTGAATGTAACATTAACTTACTTTGTCACCTTTAACTCAAATCACACCTTTCAAAATTATTAAAAGATGCAAGTGCCCTGGATGGCTTCAGCAGAAGCGTCATGGTCAGTAGATATACAGCCTAAAAAAGCTTATCCCCTCTCTACCATGCCCTCAGTCCAGTGATATTTTATGCCAAGCTACCAGTTACACAGATTCTCTGGATGGTGCAAAGGGTTCTCAGTTCCTAGACCAAGATTGGCAGTCTATCCAGCAGCACCTAGGCAGAAAAACTTAGTCTTTGAGTTTAATAAAAGCAACTGCAGAAACCTCTATGGAACACAGGCCATTCTGACACAGCATGGTTCGCCATAAGACACAATAATGCAACAACAGCTGCTTTACTAGTGTTAACTTGCCCTAGTCATGGCGAGCTGGCTCACAGAATTGTGAAGGCCACACTCTCTTACTCTTTGTGCTGCTTCTCCCATTTTTGTTCTTGCTCTAACACACGAACACAGTAGTGAGAAACCACACAGCGTAAGGAAGGACCTTTACATTTTTTTTCTTCAGAGTGATGGGTGAAAGTTTGCAAAGGAGAGTGTTTTTTTTTTCATTCAGTCAGTTATACAGGTTTTGTTTTAACATTAATTACAATATTCACAATGTCTGATCATCCTCTTATTGTATATTGCCTTTATCTTTATCCAGCTTAAAAGTATCTGTTATCTGTGTATTAGTTTTTACTGCCATCTCCTGCCCTTCCCATTCTTGGTAACTATCCAAGAATGATTCCATCCACATGTAAACCTTTCTTTACCTTTTTATAGTAAGAGTCTCATATAATTTGCCCTCTTATGACTAACGTAGTTCACTCAGTATATTGTCTGCATTCCCCCTTGTTATACAGTATTTTGTAAGTCTTTATTGCTCTTAATGTTGTATAGTACTCCATTGTGTAGCTATACTGTAGTTAACCATTCATTGTCTTTGGCTATTAATGAGCACAAACTCAAGACCTGATTATCCTTAAAAATTAAAATATTCAAACTTAATTCAATTCTAAATGTGACTATCATCTAAGGATCATATGAAGAAGACTGTTTGATTCAAGCAATTCATTCAAGGAGAGCCTCAATACTGCAATATCTTTTTTTTTTTTTTTGGTTTGCACTACCTGAGCTTTAAGGTAACAGATGCTTTTGCTGTCCATTACCATGAATAATTTTAAAATCAAGTTCTACTCTGAATGAATGGAGCTTTATTTTTGCATTCTTTCTCATTCTTTTCCAAACTCAATATCATTTATGTTTCTATTCTCGATTTTTCAAATGACAAGGAAGTTAGTGTCATGATTGATCTTTGATTGATGACTGTATGTTATTGTTGTTCTATGCAGTCAAGTCAAAATCAACTCATAGCTGACCCTCCAGTAGGTTTTCAGAGGCTGTGAATCACATGGGAGGAGATTGCTTATCTTTGTCCCATGGAGCAGCTGGTAGATTCAAACCATGTGCCTTGGGGTTGACAACACACTAGGCCATCAAAGCTATAGCGATTGTTGTTAAGTGTCACCGGGTCATAGACTACTCACAGCAATTCTATGAATGAAAGACCTGAACACTTGTATCATTTCATCACTTCTCCAAGTTCCTAGAGTTTCCGGAGTCAAGCTATTTAGGAAGTGGATGCCACTCCTCCTTCCAAACTTGTTTTAATCGGGAAGCTCCACCAAACACTGTCCACCATGGGTAACCATTATCTCATTTGACATACCAGTGTCACAGTGTTCACCATGACAGCAACCACGAGTTACCTCTGTACAGCAAATGGACAGACCATTGCTATACGACTTAGAAGATTATTTGACCAAAAACAGTTAAAACCAGGCCTGAGGGCTGTAGATTAAAATCACCCACCTTTGGCTTGGTAGCATCGCTTTCTATCCTCTAGGCCAACAGAACTTTCTCGTTGTTGTTGTTGTTAAGTGCCGTCGAGTCATAGACAACTCATAGGGACCCTATGAACGAAAGACCTGAACACTTGTATAACGTATAGACATTCTAAAGGAGTTGAACAAAACTATGGAGGCTGCTTTTTTTTTCTTCCTTGTTGCGTACCAGCAAATCAGATCTGACTGGCACAGGACGAAATTACCCCTCCTCCTCCAGCGGAGCATCTGGTAGATTCAAACCACACACCTTCAGGATTGCAGTGCAGCTTCTTGCTTCTAGGCCACCAGAGCTCTGGTGCTTTTTTGCTGCTTTTGTGAAATAGCAAGTTGTAGAATTAAGAAGATTTTTATTGCTTTTTCTACACATCTCTCCTTTTAACTTCCACATTATAAATGACTGGACTTAGAACTCTGAAGGACTGGGATATGGTCTGCAACCCTCATCCTCTCAGTTCTGCTATGTCGTATAAAAGCAAAGCCTTTTACCTGATATGGCGCAGATGATGCTATACACTTGTCAAATAACAATTTACCTTTTTGGAGCCCTGATGTGTGAAATCGACTTCTTTGTAAAAACACTTCACTGTTTAATCCTAATGATTATTTTATGTTTTTCTTCACCTGCAGATTCAACCTAATTTTCTTTCAATGAAAGAGTGGGTTTCCATGGTGCTTGATACCCTCCTGGTCATCGTAGATAGTCGTTACCAACCAGAAGGACAGCTCCTCTCCTGGTTTTATTATGTAAGTCAGAGAGATAAAGAACCTGCCAGAAAACGGAAGGTTGACTCTTTTTTTTTTTTTTAAGGTTGACTTTTTTTCTTATCAGTTGCTTGCATGCAAATCTATGAAACAATATAGTATTTTTCACCCTGTCTGTACATTAAAAAGACCTGGGGGTCTTTTTATCCACATCTATATGAAAATATAGGAATCTCTGGTGGCCTAGTGGTAAGAAGCTGTGCTGCAGTCCCAGAGGCGTACAGTTTAAGGCCACCAGCCACTCCATGGGAGAAGGATGGGCAGTCTCCTCTCGTGCAATTAACTGCCTCTGAAAACATGCTGGAGGGTCAGTTGTGGGTCAATTCTAACTCTGCAGTATACAACAACGACAACAACAACAACAACATATCAAAATTTATAATAAGCCCACTGCATAGAGTCTGTTTCAACTCCTCTTGGAGCTCCTTGGCTGTAATTCTTAGTGGGAGGAAACTCTCTCTTTCTCCATTAAAGCAGCTAGTGGATTCAAACTCCTCACCTCTTTGGTTTGCAGCACAGCATGCTACACAGTATACCACTGAGGCTTTTTATGTAACAATTAAGAAAAGAAATACTTGTGAGTGGCCCTGAGAAGCATCATTTTAAAAGCTGTCCAGAATATTCTAATGTTTAGTTACATTTGAGTGACTGTGGTAGAAGGAACATAAGCTGAAGAGTAAAGGCCCAGTGTATCTTGTTGTGGTTTTATAATTTCAGACTCTGTAAATCATGGCCATTTAATCTATTTGGACCTTTGTCTCCTTATATAAAAAGTGTTGCTATTGTGTGCCATTAAGTCAGAACCGATCGATAGCTGACCTGCCAGTGTGTTTTTCAGAGACAATTAATTACACGTGGGGACATTGTCCATCCTTCTCCTGCATGGATTTGAACCACATACCTTTGGGATTGCCACGCAGGTTCTTATCACCAGGCCACCAGAGTGCCCTTATGTAAAGTGAAGTGATTGAACTATATTACATGAAGTAATGGTAGCACTTGTTACACCCTTACTAATTTTGTGGCTGTTGACCTGATACTGCACCTCTCTCATTTTAATTTTTTTTTTAAATCTGTTAAATGAAAGTAAAAAGTAATGCTTTGCCAACTGTAGTAGTGATTGTGAGTATCTGCATACAAGGGCTTAGCACTTTGTTTAAAACATGAGCGTAGCATGCCTACCACAAAAGCACATGCAACAAACCAAGCTCCTATTAGATGCACAAGGGAATGTTTTAGAAACTTAGTCAATACAAAGTCAGATTGTCATTGATCCTCTAAAATCACCAGCTAGTTACTCAAGCATTGTCATTGTTTATGTGTTATTTCTCAAGATTTGAAGCAAAATTAAACACAGGGGGTTTTGTTGTGGTCTTTATGCTTCATTTTGCTTTTGTTGGTTGTGGTACATGCTTTATTTTTGTATCCACATGGAGTTATTTTCTTTTTCACCCTATCAGCTATCCATTGCTTAGAGAATTATAGTGATCATGGGACAGTCAGCTGAGAGGCAGGGGATTATACCTGATTTGAATAAAAATATACAAGATCCAGACTTGTTGCTAAGATCATGAATTTAGCCTGAAACCCCATCGCCCTAAGTCTTCTTTGTACAGTTGTGTGTGTGCGTCTGTCTTCCTGCCCTCAGAGACCAGGTATGTATCCATCTGGGGGAGGCCAGAGCTATATTTTAAACTGTACTTTAGGACAAAAAAAAGAACTTACCAGACAATGCAGAATTTAACTGGTAAATACATTTTTCTCAAAGAAATATTTCTTTATGAAGATTTGCTTCCTGTCAGAAATGTTCTTCTCTTTTTTAAAGATAGATAAAAAAACTTGTTTAATAACCTCTGTGGAGGTCATTGCAGTAACAGTAAGGTTCAGATATTCACCAGGACAGGATATTGTAGGTTTCTAATAATGCTAGTTACTTCTTGCAAATCAATAAAAATAATCTCCTGACTAGCCTGCTCAGGGTGCCTCTATACCTTTGTGGGTTTTCATTATTGCACTTTTCAAAGCCCTATTTCAGAAGCCACTTCCTTTATTTCCATTGTCCTAACATTGTCAGTACAACAGTGCTGTGTTATCTTAAAGCATAACTCAGCACATGTTTTATTTTATTATTCTAGTGCTAAAGGTTAGAAACAAAATGAGCATAAGAGTTAAAAAACGCATTTTAATGTGCTCTGACTGCAAGGGATAACATGGTGTGTCTGAACATTTCAAGTGGGGAATAGTAAGGAATGATAAATGGCCTTTCTTCTCTGCTTGAGACATATTTATAAACGTAGAAAATGTCTGGTAGAGCTTTCTAACGGGGAATTCTTGTCGAAGTTGCTCATAGTTGACTGCCCTGTCATTTTATTGGTGCTGTTATTCATTTCTTTCCCGTAATTACATATAGGAAGGGCGTATGTAGGCTCTCCATTTCATTTTGAATAGCTAGTTATTGCTTTGTAACCAAAGGCTTTTAGGATTTCAACTTCCTTTTTAATTAAAAGGAATTAACCCCCTGTAGGAAATAATCCATCTACTGGGAAGTGTTCCCACCAAAAATTTTGGGAGGTCTGCCAACAGATCCCCACACTAAACATACACTCTTCCCTCCATAGAAACGTCCACTTGTTGTTTTTTTAATACTTTTCCCCCTTTTCTCTCCTGGACAACTCCTGGCTTTCAGAAATTACATTTATAATATGTCTTAGTGGTTTGTTAAACCAGGGATGTCTTTACTGTGGATTTTTTGAATGTATGCACATGTGAGCTTTCAGTAACACTGAAATTGTTTCCGTCTTTATAGAGAGAGCGTTCACATCATTTAAAAAGGAAGGCACTTGGAATTTACTTTTCAAATTTAAAAGGCCATTATTAGTTAAGTGATTATTTAGTAGCAGATTATTTCAGTAAGGAGGAAAAAAATCTACCGTGCGGACAAACACAGAAATAGATGGTTTTTTAATTCTTCTTTGGAGGAACACAGGGGTGAGTCTAAGAGCAGCTTGTATTGTCGTACGTGCTTTTGTGGTAGGCATGCTCCGCTCCTGTTTTAAACAAAGGGCTAACCCCCTGTTTTCTTTCTTCTGCCTGTCCTAGAAATCCTATTCCGGAGAAAACACAGCGAGTGCCATCGCCCGTTCTGCCGCCGCCACGGCTTTGTCTCTCCTTGTGCCAGTTTTCATTATCTCTCGCAAAGAGAAGGTTGAGGAAATCCTGAACATGCTGACTGCCAGGTTACCTGGGAAACCGTGTGCTGACGAGCCTCAAACCGTGCAAATCCACATGGGCCTTGCCTTGGGGATGTTTCTCTCTCGCTTGTGTGAGGAGAAACTCAGGTACGGTTTATTCAAATCTCAAATCCTCCTGCTTTTCTTCTTTGTGGTTTAGGTGGAGGTTACCACATGTGTGAATCCTAAAAGTGTAGACATAAACCTGCCTAAAAATACATCGTTGCTAAACCTGAGGTGGACGAGTTGGGTCTTTTTTCCCTTTTAAGGGTGAACGTGTTTTTTTGGAAATAACTGTTTCTACAAAGAAGCTGTTGATATAGTAAAGTGATGGACACTTTGAAAATCATTTCCTACTTGGCTGAGGCCCTGCGTGCGTCTGTGTAATAATAAGTGGAGGGAGTCTCATCTTACGGTTCCATAAGGAAAGAACCTGCTCTGTCAGGTTTATAGAGCATGGAAATAATTGTTCATTGACAACACTGTAAAATGGGAAGAAAGGATTGGGGTGCCCTTCGCACGTGAGGTTATGTCAGGAGTCGCTGAATCACCTGAGAACTCCATGTACCCAGTTTTAAATACTGCCTTTATCCTGTGCCCTGGCTACATTTTTGTAATCCTTAAAGAGTCTTAATCTGTGCATATTATACTGTGTGCTTTATTCAGTTTGATTGCTCATTTTTGGACTGCTAGCTTTACCCTTGAATAGACCTGCTGGAGTATCAGAGTCCAGGTGGAAAATTCCATTGAATGAGGACATTTCCTTGGACATGAATCTACTTTAGCTTTGTAGTTGTGCTGCTTTTTGTGGCTTTTTGCAACAAGTCAGGGCATTTGACCTATCCAGGCTGATTGTAGGGTATAGCTCAACAGCAGTGTTTGGATCTCAGGAATCCTCGGTTGTCATTGACTTGGCGCTTCCCTCGATATTCCTGCCCTGTAAGTAGATGGTGAGGAGGTGCCTCCTGTTAGGATGTTAGAAGCCACTGGGCTTCTTCAGTTGGCAGAAAACAGCTGTTCAAAGACAAGAACTAGTGTTAATGAAAGTAAATTGGGCAATAGACTTCCAGTTGCAGTATGCTATCCTTCAATTTTTAGATAAAAACCAGTGATTAAGATCTTCTATATCGGAATATGTGATTAGGTATTTTTGTCATGACATGAGTCTAGAGTGAAGGCTACATGGTGGAGTGGACCTGGGGAAGGGTTTGGAAAACAATGAAAGAATTTTTGTTTTACTTTTACAAGAGGGTAGTGTGGTAGGGGAGAGGGTTGGGAGGGAAGAAAAGTGCAGCAATGAATAAATGGAAATCCAAAGTCTCTGTAAATTTTTACTGAAATTAATAATAAATTTTAAAAAGTGAAGAAAAAGATAAAAAAAAAATCTTTATCATTTACATAGGTTTGCTATGTTAAACACCAATGTGTGAAATTTGTTTGAGAATTACCATTGATCTGGGAAAATGACCATTTCAGATGACAGTTTGCAACTTTTGGCAGTATATTTCAGATAATTACCTTAGCTTTTTCGATCAGATACTATGTCCAGAATATTCATTTTGTTCACTTCATCAGCATTAATACACGTAGGCCTGACTCTGAACTTGAACAAAACACTTTGCCTGTGAACTGATGGCTACATAGCTTGTATGGATGATAGAACACGAGTGTTTTTAAAGACTTCAAACTCGAAACCTTTTTTGCTTCCCTTTCCCCCCCTCCCCCGCACCACTGTACTAATGGTCTCTTTACCATCTGTGTTCATACTCTTTCTTAGGCATCTTTTCAAGCGGCCTGCTTTACAACTAAAAATGAGCCCTAGCAGCTTAATTCCAGGCAGGTCGTTCCATCCTGGCCTGGCCTCCATTCCTTTCTGGGATATGGTGCTGAGAGTTTTAGGGCTGACAATTTAATTTCGTTTAATCACCCCGCCTGGAGAAATCTGTGGTGATTCACCTGAAGCTCTCATCCCTGGCCCCTGAACTACCTTTCATCCATCTGTCTGTCTTGACTTTGCACCTCCCTGTGGAAAACAGCCTAGGGAGGGGCTCTGGGAAGCTTCCCACAGCGAAGTGAGCAACCCCACAATAACCACCAACTAGCCTTCCCCTCACGTTCCCATAAGGAGCCTCACTGGTTCAGTACTTAGCCATTAATAGACAAGTTGGTGGTTTAATCCATCCAGTGACTCCATAGAGGGGGTGGGGAGGCTGTCCATGGCTTTCTATAAAGATTATAGTCCAATAAACCTGGTGCGGCAATTGTGTTTTGACAGTGGGGCTACTGTGAGCAGAAATTGATTTGACATCACCTTGTCACCTAACAACATTCACATGATGTCACCTGATAACATTCACAGGCGCTCTGATGGCCTGGTGGTAAGGAGTTGCACTGCCAGTCCTTAAGGTGTATGGTTCAAGGCTAGCATCAGCTCCGAGAGAACGATGGGCCTGTGCACTTTATAGCCTCTGAAAACCTGCTCGAGGGCCAGCTGTGGGTTGGTTCCAACTCAGCAGCACATGGTAACAGCGAAAACACTCGCATGTTTGTTGCTATCCAGCTGCTTTTTTGTAACATATGAATTAGCCTTTGCAATCACTAGTATAATGACTTTTGCCTCCTGATAGCTAGACATTGGGAAGCCAAGGAATCTGAAAACCTTGTCTTTTCTTGCTAATAAATATTTGCCAGGCAACGACAATGTTACTGGATAATATTTCTGAAGAACATTTCCATTTTTCTAACATAAACTTATGCGTTTCGAGGGCTTTTGCCTTTTGAGGAGTTAATGACATCAAATAAGTGGCTGAAATGGGCTCTCTGGAGGAATGCTATTAGAACAGTGTGTGTGTTCTCAGAAGAAAATCAGCATGTAGAAGAGACATACAGCAATCAATTATTTTTTTTACTCATACTAATCTTTCAGAAAGTCTGGTGAATTTAAATTCCAATCTAGAATTTATTCAGAAAAGTATATTATCCCAATGCTTCTTGCTGCTTCCATAACCCTTTGAGGGTACTAGTTGACTCTCTTTAGCATTTGTTTAGGATCTGTAAGTATATTTTACTCCAGAGAACAACTGTAAGACGACTTATTTAGTTAAAACTATGTGTGTGATGTGTTTGTTTCTCTCATTGCCAAATGTAATCTTTCGCCTTAAGCAAAACCACTGGAGCCTTGGCCTGGGAAGACATTATTTAAAGTGCTCACTGGCTGGTTGGAATTCCTGGGGTTGCATTCCACGTAGCAAGGTCTGAGACAGCCAGAGAACTGAGATGTAGCAACCCCGTGATAATCCAGTGTCGGTGATGAAGCCCACAGCTCAGCCTAAAAGCACAGCCACAGGATCGCCTTTTAAGTTGGATCACCAAAGTGTAGAAACGACACCAACTGCTGCATAAAACCAAAACAGTATAGGCTCAGGGGCTCATGCTTTCTGTCTTATTTTCCAAACGTCCATAAAGGAATAGAACTTGTTCACATTTCAGGCATAAAATCAAAAGTTATAGGTTGTATGGAAAAGGTTTAGGAGGATCATTGATAACATCCCCTTAAATCTAGTTACTTATGTAGAAGTCTAACTTTAGTTTTTCTATTTCAATGATTTAAAATGTGAAGAGACTGAGGAAGAAAGCAAAAGTAAGAAGTCTTAGAGATTATTGCTTGGAAAATTACTAGAATATTCAGAAACCCAGGGAACTCTGGTGGTCTAGTGGCAAGAAGCTGTGCTGCAATCCTGAAGGTATGAGGTCTGAGTCCACCAGCTGTTCTGCGGGAGGATGGCCAATCTTCCATGTGAGTAACATTAACGGCCGCTGAAAACCTACTGGACGGTCAGCTATGGGTCGGTTCTGACTCAGTGAGTGGTACACAACAGCTCAGAAACTCAGTTATTAGATTAATTCTCGGATTCAATTTCTGCATCAACAGAAAAGTATATGTAAATCACCATTATAAAGTGTTACTTTAAAAATACCTCTGGCATTTCCAGGGACATATCGAGAGCAAAATATCACTTGTTAAGTGTTTGGGACTATTGAGCTATTTTAAATGTCTGATGTTTCCTTCTCTCTTCAGTGATATATCTGGCCAGCAGATGAACCTGCTTCTGATGAAGTCTTTGGATGCTCTGGAAAACTGCTGCTTCGACACCAGTCTTGAATATAAGTATGTGGATTCCATTTCATCTCTAATAGATACGTCAGAAACTGGTTCCTACTCTGTGTAAATATTGAAAGTTATGACCTAGTGGGATAGAGTCTGTACGGAGTTGCTTTGCTAACCCAAACACTGTGTCTTTCTGGTGGTTTGAATCCACTAGTGACTTGGCAGGAGACAGACCCCTCCCTTGTGATTTAAAGTTTCAGAAACACAATGGAGGGTAAGCTGTGAGTCATTTCCAACTCAACAGCAGTGGAAAGACTGGTGCAATATTTGAAAGACCTTCTCCTGAGTTCCTTTGCCAAGAGTCTTCCCATAATAATGCAAAACTTGTAAGTAATACCTATACTTGCCCCCTAAAATTATGTTTCACTTTTAGACAGGTTACTTGAAACAATGCAGTTGATGTTATTTTGTGGCTAAATCTTTATGTTACTGAAATCTTTGTTCAATGCTTAATCACATAAGACTTAAATACTGTTACCTGTTGTTGTTGCTCTGTGCCTTCGAGACTCTTGGGACTCATAGCGACCCTATGTACAACAGCCCTAAACTCCGCTCTGTCATATGACAATAGCACTGTCTCCGATACACCCATCCCAATTACCCCAGTCACTGAATCAATCCATCTCATCTCCTGCGCTGTCCTTCCACCCTCCCAAGCATGATGTCCCCCTCCAAGGTCTGGTCCCTCCTTACAACATGTCCAAAGTATGTTAGTCGAAGCCTCAGAATACTTGCCTCCAAGGAGCCGCTCAGTTTAACCCTCTCCAGGATGAATCTGTTTCTTTTCCTAGCAGTCCATGATACCCTCAATACTCTTCTCCAGCACCACAGCTCAAAGGCATCAATTCTCCTTCTATCCTTCCTAGTCACTGTCCAACTCTCTGATGCATAACAAATGATTGCAAAGACCATGGCCTGTATCAGATGCACCTTAGTCTCCAGAGAGACACCATTGCTCTTCAGTACTTTGGAGAGGTCCCTAACAGCATACTTTCCCATCGCAATACATCTTTTAATTTCCTGGCTGCTGGTGCCAAGAGTGTTGACTGTGGAGCCAAGCAGACTAAAGTTGTTAACAATCGCAATCTCTTCACCATCCATCCTGATGCTGCCAGTTGGTCCAGTGGTGAGAATCTTTGTCTTCTTCTAGATATACAATTTAAGTTTTTGTAAAAATCTATTGAAACAATTCTCAGAATTTGATTAGACTAAAACAGTCTTTACCCCATGGGATTTTCGTATGAAATTCAAATGGCTGTTGAATCAAAATGAAAATCCAGATGACATCAGGGACTCTGAATGTCCTTTTATTCTTGCAGGCCTAATGCTTTTTAACAGTTTTCGCCTGGTAAGTTCAAACACCAGGTCAGGACCAGCTCATCACGGTCAGTCCTCCGTTGGGTTTTTGAGGCTGTAAACCACGTGGGAGGAAATTACTCATCTTTCTCCCCCAGCGCTGCTGCTGATGGATTCAAAGCATCTTTGGGTTAGCATTCCCTATGGACAACCTCAGTACACTAAGCATCTGAAATAATTTACGTTGTTTCTCATTCCCATAGTGAAAAGGATAACAAATAACAAAAGGAATAATCAGAGGAGAAAGCCTCAAAAATAGTGCTGAGTTTCTTTAGTGAGACATGTGATGTTTCAGTCAGTCCTGTCATTTCTGTGTGTGAACTTACGGCATTCTTCAGCTTTCTAAAGTAAAGACACTGTCTGAGAACTAACTGCTGCTGGACTTATTTTAACTTCCATATATTTGGGAATCTCTAATTTGAATGCCTTGGCTTTCATTGTTGCATCTGCTCCTCACTTATTGATTTTCTCATTAAGTGGTATTTCACATTTACCACATAGTAAAAAAGTCCACTGTCCGCCTATTTTGTGCATAAATAACATATGTATATCACTAATGAACACCAAGGTACAAAACAGGAGTAACACTGACTTTGATGTTTAGGGTTATGTTTCCAGGTTGCCTGGGCTGTGATTCTCAGTGGTTTAGAAGTTGGGCAGTAAGGTAGTTATTGTCCATTTTGTGATCTGCTCTCTTCTTCTACAATTTTTAACAACCTAGTCTTTTGAACCTAACTGTATTGATAAATGAGCAGTGAGTATACTAGAAAACAGAAGATTTTAAGCATTGATTCTCATTCATTAAACTAATTTACAACTTGCTATTAGAGGCAAGAGTGGTGAAACTTCATCTCACATACTTTGGGTGTATTATCCAGAGAGACCAGTCCTTAAGAAAAAGACCCCATGCTGAGAACTGATAAAGTGTCAGCACAAGAGATGAAAACCCTCAGAGAGATGGATTGGCAGTGAAAGCATGAGCAGGCCTGAGCCTGTTGGAGAGATCATGGGGCTGGCACAGTGCAGGGCAGGGTTTCACTCTGTTGTTCATATTGTCACTGTGAATACTAGTCAGTGGCACCTGACACCACTGTGAGCAATGTTCAAAGCTGAGTTTAATCAGTGCTTACATTTCTGGCTTTCTAGCTTATGATCTAAAGCTATTTTCATGGTCTATAGCTGAAAGACCTGAGAAACAAATAAAAGCCTCAGGTTGCAATACTCAGTGGGCAAAATCTTGCATGCAAGCCTACGATTAACACCCCTACCCTTACCCCTCTTATTTCCACCCTTCCTCCCCTCCTTGGTTCCTCATACTCATTCTAGAGATACAGTGTTTGTCCTTGTGGGACTGAGTTAGTTCACTCAGCATAATGCTCTCCAGTCCCTCCCAAGTTAGGTAGTGATTTACAAAATCATTGCTCCTGAGTGCTGCATAGTGTTTCATTGTGTGAGTGTAGCACAACTTCTCAGTCCATTTGTTTGTGGTTGGACATGTGAGCTCTTTCCAAGTTCTTGCAATGATGAGTAATACTGCTATGATAGGGTTGCATAATTCAATGGGTAGGTGGGGTGAAGGAAATGAGGAAATGGGAAGGATCTTTTGTGAAAAACAATGTATTTAAACTTTGTAAATAAATCAGAGTAATCTAAAAAATTTTTTTATAAATCTTGAATGCAGGAAGTATGAAAAGTAAATGAATATACACAATCACTGTACCATAGAGATTTAGCTGACAAGGAACCATTTTGGGAAGTAGCACATGATCAAGATCCAAGGGTCAGAAATTGATGGAATATCAACTGACATGTTTCAGTAAACAGATGAAATCTAGATATGCTTACCAGACTGTGACAAGAGATCTGGAAGACAGCTACCTGGTCAGCTGATGGAAGAGGTTCCCATTCCCCAAAAGAGGTGATCCAATAGAATGTGGAAATTATCAAACAATATCATTAATACCATATGCAAACAAAATTTTGCTCAAAGTTATTTTAAAAACCTGCTAGAACATCACAACAACTGAGAGCTACCAGAAATTCAGACTGTATTTAGAAGAGGCCATGGCACAAGGAATATCATAGACGGTGTCAGATAGTGCTTGGCTGAAAGCAAAGAATACCAGAAGAATGTATATTTGTGTTTTATTGATGATGCAAAAATATTATATTGTGGGGATCACAACAAATTATGGTTAACATTAAGAAGAATAGGGATCCCAGAACACTTAATTGTGCTCATTAAAAAACCTGTTTGTACACCAAGAGGCTATTGTCCAAACACAGCAATGAAACATTGCATAGTTGAAAGTAAAGCATGTTTATCAGGGCTGTATCCTTTCTTCATACCTATTCAGTCTGTTTGTTGAGCAAATAATTTGTGGAGTTGGAGTCTGTGAAGAGAAATGTGGCATGAGGATTCTAGACAGACCCATCAACAACCTGCATTATGCAGGTGGCACAACCTTGCTTCCTAAGAGTGAGAAGGACTTGAAGCACTTGCTGCAGAACATTTAAGACTACAGCCTTCGATATATGTTACATCTCAACGTCAAGAAAACAAAGGTAATTACCACTGGGTCAAAGGCAACATCATGATAGAGAAAAGAGTGAAGCTGTAAAGAACAACGATGTTAGTTTAAAGACTATGGTGTGCCTGATCCAAGCCGGTTCGTTTCAACTATTTGTTCTTCATCTGGAAGCTGAAAAAGGAATAGGATTGACAGAAGAAGAATTGACGCATTTCAGTTGTGGTGTTGGAGAATAGTGCTGTATGTCCCATTGACTGCCAAAAGAACAGGTATTTTTTGGAGCAAATGCAATTGGGGTGCTGCATAGAGGCAAGGATGGTGAAGTTTCCTCTCACCTATTTTGGGCATCTTTTCATGTTTGGAAAGGTGGAGGGTTATAGAAAGAGAAGATGACTCTCAACAAGGTGGATTGATACAGTAACTGTAACAACGGGCTCAAGTAGATCAGAGATGATGGCAGTACAGGATATAGCAGGGTTCTGGTCTTCTGACCCCTTGTTCATAGGGTTGCTATGAGTCATAGTTGATTTGAGGGCACCTACAACAGATCTCTTACATTTGGATCGACAGAAAAAGTAAATGGTAGGAGTAACTGTTATCATGAGTAAATAAAACTTTATTACTAGAATGTGGTGGTTAAGACCTTTCAGGTGCAGGCTAAGACTGGATAGAAACCAAGTGACATCATAAGAATGTTGTTCAAACACTGAGAAAAGGCTTTTGCAGCATGATATATATGTATATGGAATATACAAAATAATACTTGGAAGGGATAGGCAATTTGGTTAGAAGTTGACATTTTGGACCTAATAGATATAATAGTGCTGCTGTATTTTATAATGACCTCAGAGTAAGATTATTTCTGTTACACATAACTTGTAACATATACCCTTAAAATTCCTCATCTCTGTAGCTCAAGATATGAGTTTCAAGTTTATGGAGTTGAAAACTTCACTTGCCTAGGAATGCTTATGGCATCTCTGGTAAAGTGATAGGGTAGGGACAGCAGGTGTGCAGCTAACACAGAGGTGGCTCCTTCCTCAAGGGAGGGAATACTGTCCACCAACTGTTCCCTGGGAAAAACACAGGCAGTATTCTCCCATGCAATCTACA